AATGTAGCAAAGGAAGTTTTTCCTGGCACGGCGATGGGGAAATGGAACTGCTTTAAGTTTTGTCAAGTCAGGTTACTATTAAAGGCATGGAGTTGGGTCTGTGCTTGTTTGTGTTCTAAAAAATGGCAATCCTGAGAACAATCCAACTTTTTAAAATTAGTATACTAAATGCTGACTTACAGCATGTTGACCTTGATTAAAGAATCTCCTGCTGGCAGAGCAGTGATGTTTCTTCATGTCCTGTTCTCACACTCCTTGAAATGAAGGCTCCTGGCTCTCGCCTTGTACTGCCCAACACCCCGTTTACAACACACCCCGTATGGGAAGCACTAGGAGGGAGAAAAGTGTTTCAGAGCCAATTGTTATAAGCCACTACTCCTATTACGTTGAAGCTGCTGCATCAGGCTGAACCAGGGTGTTTCTGGATGAGGCTTTTATTATATGATTGCCCTGCCTCATTCATGGACTTTTACAGGTGGTTCAGACATCATCATTTCCCACTCATTTCTGTTAAGGCAGAGAGCAGAATAGCTGCCCAATGCCTTCTAATCAGTTATACTAGGAACTCTCTGCCTAGAAGCACCACCAATCTCCCATCATCGATTGTAGAAACAGCCTTGGAGTCTTTCCACCTTCATCTGTATGTGCTGGTCTAGGATCCCCATCATTCCTAGCTGGCTGGAGATGGCAGGAATTCTACTCCAACACATCTGGAGGACACAAGGATTATGGAAGGCTAAAGGCCCTCATTTTTTTCATATTTAATATTCATGAAGGAAAAGGAATAAGGAATGAAGAAGGAATGGGAAAACAAGTGAACACTTTGTGATTCTTCATAAAGACAGTGGTGAATGATAATGGATCAGACCTGCCTCTCTTTAAAATACCTTAAATCACTTTTGTACTCAGGGTGTGTTCTTTGCAAGCCAAGTATAATTGAACAGCGACAAAGGGAGTCACAAGATGTGACTTGATAAATAACCCTTATGTTTAGTTGTAGGGTCAAGACACTAGCAAAGTAGTATTGTTTACTAGTCGTAGTGGCATTTAATTGCCAATGAATTAATGGGGAAGAACAGCTGGTTGTTGGGCTGTTCCCCTTTTGACACATCTGTGCTAAGAAGTCATCGCGTGAGATGATCTTTCTTCTGTTAAAGAGTTTTTGGGGTGCTAGGATTAAGATAGTTCCCTAAGGGCACAATCCGATGCATGTTCCAACAGAAACATAGCTAGCTGGGGCATGCTGGGAGCTGTAGGCCTCTTTTCTGTCTAAATATGTACAGAACTGAGCCATGAAGACATAAGTTCTGTTCCTAGTAAAAGAGCAAGCGGACTTTATGACTTGCATTTCTGGCCTCGCTTAGGGTTGCTGTCAAGATACAGAAAATGGTGCATTTCATTCTTTCCTCTTAAGCCTCACAAACCTTCCTGCTTTTTGTCTTCTGAGTTCTCAAAGCTTTAGCTGAAAAATCAATAGGTTATACAAGTAGGAGAGAAATCCTGCAAGCCACTATGCACTCAACTTCAGCAGTTTGCTTCTTATTCTTTCCTGCTCTTTGCAAAGCAGGCCCAGGCTGGCTGCCAGGTGGCTGCTTTTCCTGTGGGACTGCTGGAACCAAAGTCATTTTATCTTCACTTCTGAGATGACCCCTTTTGATTTGGCTTTGCATCCAGAATTCATTCTAGAAATTCTGATACAAGTTGGATCTTTGAAACCACTTCCCTGCACTTTTTCTGCTGTTTGTTTTGGAGAACACAATAAGCAAAGATCTCTAAAAGGATGGGTCAAACTATGCATACCAGGGAGATCTGTAATTGGAAGTCCCACCCCCTTTAGTGGGTTTTTTCCTTCTTTTTCATAGCAGCTGGGGGAGGAGGGATGCTAAACAGATTAGGAATCACAAGGGAATACCTTCATTCCCCATGAGGCTGCTACTAGGTCTGCTAGATGAAAAAGGTTTGAATTTGGTTCCCCCTGCCCTTCATGGTTAATAAAAATCTGGGACAGTTATTTCAATCAAGAAAGCAGTGGGGAGGCAGAGTTTTTTTTTTAAAGCCCCTTCTCACTTTTCCCTCAAATTAGTATTCTCCCACACCATAACAGGGAGTCAAGCATGGATTTCCCACATCATGTGTAGCCTCTTCTCTCTACACTTGCACAGTGCCTTAGCTAAGTTATATACCTAGCTAAATGACAAGAAGGCGATTAACACATTGTGAGGTGGCAGCAAGATGGAACTTCGAGAGCACTCAAACTGGGGTGTTTGATGGAGATATTTTATGTAACTTAGAGAGCAACAGAGTTGTTTTAGAACTGGCCCTTACAGATTAAATCTCCTCTTGCTTTTACTAATGCTTTCTTTAATACCAATCTGTGTATGTTTACTTGAAAGTCCCATTAAGTTACTAGGAAACTGTGCATAGGGTAGCAACTTCAGAGTGACTGCTAAGAATTGGAACATCTGGAACAAGTTTCCAGGCTGGTCCATAAGCATGACTGATAAGACAACCAAGAATGGTAAGTTTAAATCAGTTCTTGTTCTTTTCTGCTTCTAGAATGACCTTGCAATAGCAGATGCAGACCAGGGTTGCCCCTGCGCAAGTGAGTAAAGCATTATGGTATGAATCACCAAAAAAAGGAGGACTGGGCATTCCAGATGTTAAAAGGTATTAAGCTGCAACCCAGTTAAAGATATTTCCAGATATTATAGCCCAAAATAAAGAATTAATATGGAGTGATATTGAATTAAAAGAATTAAGGGAAATAGGTGATCATTTAAAGTCATATTGGTTTTAAAAGGATACTAAAAAGATTAAGAGAATTCAAAATCCCTTTTTAAAAAATACAATGGAAGTATGGGAAAAATGGAGGGAATAGTTAATCTCGGGCATTTCTCTGTTAACACCAGTGGTTGAAAAGGAGAAATTCCCAAAAATAGAATTAAAGGATTGGATTAATAAATTAAAAAATAACCATATATATAAATGGGAAGATTGGAAAAATAAGATAAAAATATAATACAATTAAGGAGTATATTGCCAGCGGTTAAATTAAATTGGTTAAATTTAATTCAATTAGAAAAATGGATAAAGATGGAGGACAAATTTAAAGAGGAAGAAAGACAATTAACAAAATTTGAAATGATTATAAAAGAATGTGAGACTGAGGAAGAATATGCAAGTAAAGGAAGAATTGCCAAAATCTATAGGATATTAAAGGAGTTAGGGGATCAGACAAAAAGTTTAAAATTAATTTGGAAAATTGATATAGGTGAGATAAAAGACAAGGATTGGAAGAATATTTGGAATAGAAGGGTATATAAGAATATGTCAGTTAGAATTAAAGAGCATGGATACAAGGTGATATGGAGATGGTATTTAATACCAGTTAAGTTAAATCAAATTGATGATAACTACTCTAATATATGTTGGAGATGCTGTAAAGAGATCAGAACTTATAAACATATGTGGTGGGATTGTGAAAATACAAAAGATTTGGATTATAGTATTTAAGGAAATTGGAAAAATTTTAGATATAGATTTAGAAATGTCACCGAGAATGGTGTTATTACTGTTGATAGAAAAACAAGATATAAATGAAGCTAAGAAAGGATTTTAAGTATGATCATGGCAGTTAGGCTAGTGATAGTTATATATTGGACAGAATTGGGTATTGCAAAGGCATGAATGGTATAATGAAATATGGAATATGATAATTAATGATAAACTGATGACAGAAACAAAAATTAAAAAGGGTTAATGAAAGCAAATGAATATAATGAAATTTGGGAAGATTTTGTAAAAGCAGTATTGATAGAAGGCAAATGCTGTAAACCCAATCAAGATTATATGAATTTCTGGAGGAGATATGGGTATAACTGAAGTATATTATATATTGTTATAGTATGTGTATGATGGTAGTATTGGTCTCCGGGGTGGTAGGTGCACTCTTTCATTTATCCTTTTTTAATTATTGTGTTCTTGTTATGTTATGTTTTATATTATTATTATTTCTGTCTAAAAAAATTTAAAAAGGAGGGGGGGAAATGGCAAGTGAGTAACAGTGGGTTGTAAGCCATCTCCATGTGTGTTGGCCAATTCTTCTAATTACACTTGCTGGGCATAACTTGTTATGTACTCTCCTGCCAAAGATGAGCAGCTAGGGTGGGTAACAAACCAGCCAGAGCCCGTGCTCTTTTGTAAGGTCTCTGTGTTAGACACTTGCCCTTGATAGGTTTGGACATAAGGACAAGCTGCTTCCAGCAAAGGTAGTTAGGGAAATTAGCTGGCACACACAAGCATGATTAACAAGCTACTGTGGTTTATTAATCACCCTCTTGTTGTAGGAACCCAGTCATCATCTCAGCCTCTTGCTAGGGAATCTGGGAGACATCTCAGTTGCATCCAAATGGTTGGAATTACAAGCTGTGGCCTACCAGTTAATGAGTTCTTCGCAGAGCTTCATGTCCACAGTTTGTTGCTCAGCAATCACCCCAGCAGAGCTAGTGTGAGTCAAAAACTGAGTTCTCACTGACAAAGTAAGTATGTGTTTGGTCCACTTTTACCACTGCAGAACAGGATTCATGTGGTGGGTTGCTCCTCCATGCTAAAAGTTCAAATAAAAATAAAACCCTCTGCATATGACAAGCACGTCAGGGTTACATCTAGGCTCAATCCTTCTCCCTCAAGTTTAATGTTATGTGTAGGGATTATTTTTGAAATGTTATGGATGGGACATTGGGTCAGGTAGGCCCCCATCTTCAGTGGCAGAGCCCAGACACAGGTGTACCATTTAAATGGGAGCCAGATTGCATTTTCCCAGGAATACCATTGCTTTGTGTGCTTGGGTGACTCTGATATTCCATCAATATAGCAGTAACCTCAATACAGACGATTTGGATTGTGCAAAGGGATTTATGGCAGCCCCCCCCCCCCAACCTGGTGCCCTCAGATATTCAGGACTTTGACTCTTATCATTCCGGTTGGGAGTTGTATTCCCAAATAAACCGCAGGTTCAAAAAGGCTGGTAAAGGGAATGCTTTATGTGAAACACACTGCAATCCTGCGCTACTTTAGCTGGAAGTAAGCCCCATCAAACTCTGTGGGCATTGCCTTTTGAACAGGCATGTATGGGGTTGCTGCTTCCTAAAAGTGCCTTATGAATGCTGCTGCCATTATTATTGCCCAAGAGGATACTAGATAAGCAGTAATAGCTATGCTTATGGTCCCTAAAACATGTTAAATCTCTCCTAACATTAGCGATTTAATAGACAAAGCATGTTGCCCTTCAGAGACCTCTACAATGCTTTGACCAATATGGGGTCGCCTTTTCTGTTTTTACGAAGAACATGATTTTAACTCCTGGGAATTCTTAGAAAACCTATTTGTCGCGGAGCTAGTTTTCCTTCAGAGACCTCACCTTTAACCAGGAAACGCAACTCCCCCTTCTGGCTTAATGTCTTACGGAAAATACTCAACGAGGTGGGGAAACTACATGTCCCAGTATGCATTGCTTCACCGTGCCCAAATTGAGAGTTGCATTTTGGGAACGGAGTTAGGGGAGAAGAAGAGAGAAATGGAAAAATGTCTGCCATGTCTTGGCTTGTGGAGGGGTTGGGCTTGCGTCGCGTCTGCGGACTGTAGTCATTTTGCTTTTGCAAATTAATCGTACATGTTAGCTTGGTGAAATACCTACGTTCTCCTCCAACACACATCTTAATAGATTCCCGACAGAGCAGAGTTCCTGCCGCTTTAGTAACTATTACGACAGGCAGACCTTTATCAATGGAAGCTTTTACCCACTGCTCCATCTCCATACTGGGAAGGGGAGAACTATACCTGATGGATTTCTGCCTTTGGCTCAGCGGTGTAAAAGGTACATGGGAACCCTGCCAAAGAGGGTGGGAGAGAAATAGTTATGCTAGCAGAGGATGCGGCTGGAGGGATTGTGGGGAGAAGAATGCCAGAGGCAGCTAAAGTATATATTTTAAAGCCTTTAGCAGGCAGTGCTGTCCCGTCCCCCGTCCCCCCCCCCCCACCTCTTTTCTTTTGGGAACAGTATGGAGAAGGCATCTGCCTCCAAAGAGCAGCATAGTGATTTTTTAAAAAATGAAATACACGAAGTGCTGGAGGGTAGGAGAGAGGTCATATTAATTGTCTTAATTAGTGCAAGCTTGACGATTGGTAAGTGGAGGAAGCATAGTTCAGTGGTGGGACCTTGTTCCACGTTTAGAGGGTATGCCCAGCCGGATGATCCCACTACCAGGGCTAAAGGGTGGGGGGAATCCTAGAAACACCACCAGCTCAAAAATAAAAGGATCTTTATTCCACAACTGCAGCAGAGAATCAGACTTCACTGTCCAACGCAGTGTAAGGCATCTTCATACGTGCTTCTACTTTCTTTTTTACAAAATGCATGCATGTGAGACCAGCTTTGTTTTTTAAATTAGAACCCTGAGATCCACCAGCAGGAGCCTGGTGTAAAGGTTATATGCTTAGCATGAAATGACTCTAAGCCTTGGATTTTGTTCTGAGTATCAGAAGTGAGACTCCAAATCCTTCTACACAGAAATCCATGTCTGATTACCCCAAGCACTCTTCATTTCAGCAGTATAATATTTCATGGGGCAGGGAGACATTTTGTCGCTGCTATTTGGCAAACACTTGGGAGTCCGACACCCTTGCTGATCTGCATATCACCTAGGGATCTAGCTCTAGCTCTGGCTTCTGCCCACTGCTACCTTACACAACGGAAGCATTGATGAAACTTGTGATATGCAGCCACTGAGCAGATGAGTCTTTTCCTGCCATGAAAATAGCTGAGAGGGAAAGCCTTGCCTCTAAATTTGCGTTCATACAATAATGCTATGCCGACAGAGAAGAACAGTAAAGGGGAAAGTGTCGACCCGAGTCATTAATGAGTCCTGCCTAATGGGTGTCTGGGACACCTGCACAATCATGGAGACAATGGGAGTGGACTGTGCTTTCTTACCAATATTTTACAGCTTGGCTGCTGGGAAATTCATTTTTCTCCCAGCAAAAGTGCCACTTTGACTTAAAGGTGGCTAGATCCCTGCTCAATTTTTTTCCCCCAAAACACTGTCCTGCTGGAAGGTCTACTTTTAGCTGCTGTCCAGGAGCTTTCATGGCAGATTCTGCCCCAGAATGCCAAATTCCAGGCTGCAGCCAGTGATACTTGCTGGATATCCAACCAGTGTGGGGAAATATGAGGGAGTTACATAGTGGAAATACTGATGGAGATGGAAGGCATTGGGGAAAGCCTGCTTGTCTGCCTTCACTTGAGAAAAGATCCACAGATGCAGCCTTCATTCTTAATTTTTATTTTCATCTTTGAAAGGGATAGTGGGGAAATGCCACACACCAGAAGACTAGCCTATGGTTTTGTCATTCATGGCTATGGCACTTGCATGCCGTTTTCAAAGGCATGGTGGATGCAAAACCAAGGTTAGGCTGCTATCAGCTTTCACCTGATCCGTTCAAATTCAGGTTGGGTGGGTTTGGATGACAGTTTAAGCCTATGTATCCACTCTGGGCTTCAGATTGTCACCTGAGTTTCCCTCAAGTCCTCCGACTGGTGTCCCAGTGCAGACTGTGCTGCAGCACAAAGGGGAGTCAGGATGACAACTTTTGGTGGCTATTAGCCACTTGCTTGCCTTGTGCTCCTGCCAGTGCTGGCTGAGGGATGGCACAGGGCAGCTGCAAGAGTGCAGGATCTGGGAGCCCAGTGCAGGCTGGCTCTTGCCCCCTCCCTGCCATGGTGCCATTAGGCCGAGCTACACTGCACTGCGCCACGCCTGAGCAGAGAGGAGGGAAGGGAAGAGCCGCCTGGCGTTGAGCTTGGAAGCCCATGGCTCACATCACAGTGGAGTGGGGAGGGGGAGGTAATGGGCTACCTTGCACTGGGCTTCCTTGCCTGTGCCCCCCTTCCTGTAACTCAGCTTCTCCCCACCCACCATCACCAGAACTTGCAAGGGTCTCGCCAGTTGGATTAGGGGGCACCTTCTGCATGTCAGTGCTGGGGACACCTGGGTCACTGGCAGGCAGAATGCCCTCGCTCCCAACCCAACTAGCATGAATTTTACAAGTTGGGTCAGGCCTGCTTGGCTGCTTCCTCTTGAAGAATCACAGATAAATGGGCCCTCTCCTTGCCACGTGCCTCCTTGGGCTCAAACTCCAAGCACGGCTGGAGAAAGAGGTGGCATGGGGCAGCCAGGGTCCTTTGGCTGGAGCAGCAACCCTTTTTTGCTGATCTTGACAAAGGACTCATTTTTGGCTTGATCATGGCTTTGCATGGCTTCAGATGACACACTAAGCCATGGACAGTTTCTTAAACCCTACAGCAAGCCATGGTTTCTTGTGGCTTATAAACCCACCCATGGGAAGCAAAGGAATCACACACCATGTTAAGCCACCCCCCGCATGGCTTCATACATTGCATAAACACTGTCATTGCTATAAACTGGTGCAGTTACCATTGCTAACGGAACACAATATATCTTCTGTTTTTCTTTCTCCCATCAGGGCACAAGCAGACATGTGGAAGAGGGCATACTTTTTCAGGGCCTCGGCCCAAGCTGCAACCACATTGCCAGAAGGAAACAAATTGAGAATAAATTGTAGCTCATAGATTGGAGTATTTATAGAAGGTTGTTTCCATATCTATGCACTGCTTGTCTAGAGCTTGTGAAGTTTTCTAGAGTCAGTTGGAAGTAGCATTTGAACAGAACACTCCAAAGAGTATGTTGCTGGCTCAGGCCTTTCTGTAGAAGCAGCATGTCTGCTTGCACTCTTAAATAAGGACATGCTGTTTGAGGGAGATAAAATATATTAATGCTTCTCTGTATTCCATGCTCTCCTAAGAACTACCTGTCCCAGAGTTTTTTATGCAGCGACTAGAGTGAGGGACAATGTAGGAGGAGAAAAGCAGCCGAGGAGAAAAAAAGATTGATCCCACGGATGAGAAATGTAGGAGGAGAAAAGAAGATTGATCCCACGGATGGTGGGAGCCAGTGCTGCTGGCATTGCCCAAGTTTAGCCTACCGATCTTTCTGAGGGTCTTCCTTACAAAATGCTACATCTGGGGGGAAACCCCCCTAAATCTTCAAGTCTACTTTTGAAATAGAGTATGATGCACCCCCCTCTGAGTATCTAAATGATACTTTTTATGAAAAAATGGGCAAGCGATTTTCAGTGAAAAATTCTCAGACAGGGTCATAAGTAACTGAGCACCATAGCAGACAGAACTGGTGAGTGAGCCATATAGCACAGAGAATGGTTGGGGTCACACAATGCAGCAAGCCCTGGGTGGGTTATAAAGCACCCCCATCCAACTATTTCGCCTGGCATTCCCAGGGTGAGACTAGCAGGCACAGCACAGGGCCTGAGCTACCTCCTTCCCCTCAGTTCTTCCAAATGTCTCCCACGAGAGCACTGAGTTTTTCTCCCCTCCCCACTGCTGCTTGTTGGCAGAGGCAGAAGGGCAGGGAAGAGGGCTACTGACAACCTTTGCCTTGACTCACAGGCCTGGTCAACCTCAGCAAGGGCTCTTGGACTCTGCCAGTCTGGAGTGGGCCAAGCGGAGCTGCTTCCCTGCCTGGGGCCACCTCAGAGTGCCACCGTACTAGGCAGAAGTGGCATTGTCTGCTTGGCCTGCTCCTGATTAGACCGAGCAGTGCAGGGCTTGGCTCTTTCTGTCTGGTGCTGCTCCTGAGAGGCAGCATCCACGATAATTTCAACTGAACCGATCCGCAGCATGCACAACAGCCAAGCTGAGCTGATCATACCTCCACAACCCTGTGAGTGGCAGTGTGGGCCAAGAGGAAGCTAACAGCCTCCCATCAAGTGCTTTGGGACCAGCTTGGAGGCAGCAGTCAGTTGCTTGCTAGCAGAAGGGGTTTCTTGCTGCTCTTGCCAAATGGCTCTGCAGCTGTTTGGGTCACCCCTTGGCTTGTTGGGTCATCCTGGTTCAAACAGCATGACAAGCCCAGGGGTGGCCACTAACTCCCCAACTATCCATACATGGCTTAATGAACCCAGAACCTGAGCTGATAAATCTCCCCAAATAAGTCATGGTGGGTTCACACAACTCGCCAAGACCCTCTGGCTTTAAGTCCATGACTAAGAACATGTTGCATCCAATAATTTTTAGAAAGGGTCTCTTCATAATTTGAGTTGAGCATATGTGGTTCCCTACTTTCAGTGTTCCTATTGCTATCCATGATGCAGGGGAGCCCAAGTAGTTCTGGAAATATTTTATGCCTTTACCTCTTTTAGGTTTCCCAGATTATATGCTAATTTCTCAAAAAGAACCTTTTATCAGACCTTTTCTAGCCATTGATTTTCTGGAACTTTGTCCCCTGTTTTCCAGAGAGACATGATCTCAAAATGTGCAGCAGTGAAAGGAAGCCTTACCAAGTCTTCATACAACTATTCATTTTCTTTTTGAAATACTGACAATAAAATGAACATTCCACAGTGTATAATGGTTTGATTTATTAAGCGATTTTTTATATGATTTGTAATACCACTGTCATTCAGAGTCAATTTCCACTGATACCAATTCTATTAGAATATCTTAAAACCTCCTAGTAACTGGTATAAGAGGCTTAGATGTGAGATGGATGTTGGGCACCAGCATGAAATCCAAGACAGTAAGTTGGGGGGACAGTCAGGATAAGGGCCTTCTAGGTGGCTGCACCCCATCCCTGGAACATGATCCCCAAGGAGGTGTGCCTAGCACCATTATTGGTTTTTTTTTTTTCCTGGCTCCAGGTACAGACCTTTTTATTCACCAGATGTTTTGATAGGTAGATTGATTTAAATATTGCCTTTATGTGAACTGTCATATATTTTCCCCTTTAAAATTAATTACATTTAATAATATGAAATACAGTACTAAAATACACCAATAAAATATAAAATGCATTAGAAGGAAAAAAATAAATGCAAAAAAGAAAAAAAATACAGAAAGCAACTACTGAAGACTTCCACTGGGACTTTGGAATACATAGTAATTGTTCATTCGTTTCCTTCTAAGTTTCTGGTCTTTCAGGAACACCGCCTTCCATCCAAAATTGCACTGAATGATCCAAAGGGTATAATACCCTTCCCTTTATGAATATGTGTTCAATAAACAAGCCCCAAACATAATTAAAACCATACTTATTTGTCAACCCGTTTTTCATCTTAATTCCACACATCAACTTATCATTAACAGCTATGTTCTAAATTTCTTTATACCACTCAATTAACTGGAAATCCCATTTCTCTTTCCAATTCTTTGTTGTTATTAAACTTGCTGCCGTTTCCAAGTTTGTTATTAATTCTTTAGTATTCCATTTCCATTTCTTTCATACAATATTAATAATGCAAATTTCAGGATCAGCTTCAATTTCTGAGTGCAATATCTTGCTAATTTCCTTAAAACCTATTAACCAAAATTTCTTAATATTTTCACATTCTCACCACATATAAAAAGGTACCCACTTTTTGCCCACATCTCCAATATACATTGGAATATTTATTATCCATATAAAATAATTTTACCAGTTTCCGGGTCCATTTCCATACGAATGTATAATTTTTTTTCTTAATTCTAATTGACATATTTTTAGTATTCTCTTATCCCATATTTTCCCCATTCTTTCTTGCATATATGCCTCTCTAAATCTATTTGCCATCCAGTTTTAAGAAAATCTTATTGGTCCTCTATACCTATTAGAATCTTGTAATCTTACCTATGATCCCCCTTGTTTGCACAATGCCTTTTGTTTCTGTATATAAAACAATCTCTTCAAATTTGGCAGGATCTCTACATTTATGATTTTTCTTCATCCATTCTTTAGTCTATTGTAATCATTTGACATTAAACCAAGGTAATTCCTAGCACCACCATTATCCATTTTTATTATCAATTTTCTTCAACCAATCTTTTAACTAAAGAATTTGTTTTTCCTTCAATAATTTTCTCAAACAATCTAATTTTCTGGAAATTCTTTAACTTCTGCAACTGGAATTATTGGTGAAATTGCAGCATAAGTCCTTCTCTATACTTCTCCCAAATTCACACAATATTTTTAAGAAAGGGATTTTCTATATTTTTTACAATCATCATCCTGTTTCTTAATTTTCTTAATCACCAGGGGTTGTCAAGTTTTTTATTTGGTTTAGATGTTATATTGCTTTTATTTTTTGTTATATGTTTTTATCTGTAAATCTCCCAGAGAGCCTAAGGGCTGTGGGGCAGTAAACAAATGTAAATAACAAATGCAAATAATTAATAATGAATGGATTTATTATTAAGCAAGTAATTTATAAAAGGGATACTTAATGCATAAGTGACTGCTAATATTTACTTTGGGGTTTTCAAAAGACTGCTTAGGGAGCAATCCAATGGCCCTAAGAATCTCAGAGAATCTGAGGGGCTATCGGATATCTTGGATTCCTAGCTCAAAATCAGAGGTAATGCTCTTCCTTTGGAGCTGGGAATGGGAGCTTTGCCACATTCACCTGCCTTTGCAGCTGGCTGGAAAAGAGCCGCAGTGGCTGCTTGTAAGTTTAGGAATGCAACCTTGGAGAGGAGGGATGGTGATATTTCAGTGAGTGGGAGAAGACTATTATTATCATTGCATTACATGTATTTTTCAGCTTTCTTTCACTTACAAGGAACTCCACCTCTCCATTTTGTCCATACACCAACACGCCTATCGGGTTTGGCCAAGAGTCCATAATTGGCCAGAGTCATCCAGTGAGATCCAGTGAGTGGGGACCAGAACCCACATATTCCAAGTTCCAGTTCAGTCCTCTAACCACTCTGCCACACCAACTAGATAGCTATTCCAAGCTGAAGATACAATCTCCCATTTTCTTCCCTCCCTTTCCAAAAAGCTTTTACTAGATGAACAAAAACGCTTGTCTAACAAAAATGCACAGCTGCAGAGCTCCTCCACTCCTTCTGCCCTGCATAGGATGCTGAAAAGATAGTTTGGGACTTATGAGCACTGAGTGGCAAGGACCCGAAAAATACTCTTGCTATTACAGGCTTCTGAGGATCAGTTTTACCCCATGCCAAATTCCCTAAACCTCTACCCCAGCCAAAAACCTTCACAGCCATATCCAGCTTTCTGGGTGCAGCCTTCTCTTCTTGTTCTCTTACTAGCTGCCTGGAGAGTTCATCAGTTTTTTGTTTTTTACTCCCTCCTGCATAGCCATGCTCTGGAAAGATCTGGGAGCAATCTCATGGCATAACAGTGCTATCACCTCCTAATCTTCACTAGCTGCGTAAGGTTATTCCACAGAGAAAGAATAGCTCAATATCCAACCCTTATCAATTCAATTTCAATTCAGTCCTAAAACACCACACACCAACCAGCAGCTCTTTCCTTTGTCTCTCCGCTGAATCTCTGAATAAGCGCCCATCTGCCACCTGTCATATCTTAACTGTTATTTCCAAACTCCCACCTAGGTAGAATCCCCGGAGGACCTGAATCAAATGTACCTGTTCCAAGCCCCTCTAATAATATTCAAAGGGATCCTCTCTCCTTGCCTTCAGAATGCTACACAGCAAATAACCATACCCAAACAAGGCCTTGCACCCACTCAGCTATGCTGAGGCCTCATAGAGACCACGCAAAAGAAACCTTACAGAAGAAGAATCTTCATATACAGGGCATCTCTTCACATAATTTAGCCACAGTGCTCAAGAGCATGGCCTGCCACCAGAGGAGAAACAAGCAGAATGAGCTTCATCAAGCCGAGCAATCTGGTACTGTAACCAGGAGCAAATGCCTGCAAGTGGACCAAGCCACTTTCTGAAGGATAACATTGCAAAGTGGTTCCTAAGTGACCAGCCCAGGCTCCATTTTGGGGCAAGTCCAGTAAGCAAGATGCTTTCTGTTTGGGAGAAGGTTTACCATTGATCACAAGAGAAGGACTAGATTGACCAATGCAGGTCCTCATAGAATTCCCAAACTTCCTCTTTGATCCAGTCACTATTAAATCCTCCTGCTTACCCAGACCCCCTCTTCCTTGACACCTGCAGCCAGGGCAGCCATCCTGTCTGGCACCTTCCTTTGTCCCAAGGAAGGAGAGGTCACCAAGTCTTTTGTTCAGGCATAGTAAAAGGGAATGTCATTTTAAACCTGATTTGTCATATGAGTTGCGATGCTCTTTCTTTTGTGTAAATCGTATAAAAAAGGATTCCAGTTGCTAGCAGTTACCTTTTTGTGTCCAGCTGTGGCTACTGGAATGCCACTGGATGCCCTCCCCAAAGGAGGTCGCCTGGGCTTGGAGAAGCCCACCCCTGCAGGGTGGTCCAGAGCCACAGGGGGAATGGCAACATCAGCCTGCAGCCACTAGCAGAGAACAGCAAGCTCACAAACAGCAAGTCAAGGCTGGATGCTGCAGCTCTGCCCAGCTCCACCCTAACCCAGCGTTGTCTGTTTTGTAGCCTGAAAGGAGAGGTCCATGACACATTTTAAAAAAGGCAAATGAGTCATTCTTTTGCTTCACCTGGACTCAGGTGTTGGAATGCTTGTTAGGTCCAGTCTGCAGGAAAGGGTTTCAGCCCTGGAAAAGATATACTTGTATTTCCTTATACAAATTGTAGCTTCCGGGCCCACTTCTTCCTCTTTGTGTGTTCTTTACTTTACATCTCTTTGGAGCACCAGCCACCTTTGTGCAGCCAGACTGGTTTGCAGGATTGTAGCCAGAACCCGCTTTGCGTTAGCTGGATCCCTACCATCTCTGACCTGTGTCCCTGCTGCTGTGCTCAAGACAAACTCTCTCTTGGTACCAGGGTGGATTTGATTTAAATCACTAGTCAGTAAGACTAGATGTAAATCATGGTTTTCTAAACAATTTGCACACATGCCTGCCTTACCTGTAGGTAGAGAAATTTCATTAAAACATTCCCAAACTGAATCTCTTTTATGGCCTACTGCCATTATAGGTTTTCTCCTCCAGGGAAAGAATAATAATGTGATAAACCTCAGGCTATGCACAAAAAGATGCATAGTTTTGCTCAACAGGTTTCACTTTCATTTTTACTGCTTTTCCCTACCTCCTCACAGTTAGCTTCTTGTGCAGATCTATTCCCTCCTAACAATAACAATAATTATTCTATTCAATTATTGAAGTAAGCCAAATGTTTGTCTTAGTGTATGTATATATTTTACCTTTCTATGCACATAAAACACTTAAGAAATTCATGAAAACATCTTAAACACAGATAATAATGCAGTAATAATAAAGCAACTAGAGGTACTGAAGAGAGAGAACATCTGTATGTACAGTATGTGTGTAAGTATACAGTATTGTAAAAAAAGCAAAGAGTTCCTAAAACCATTTAGAACATTCTTGAGGTAACATCAAACCCAGCATTAACTGATGGTGCTGGAGAGTCAGGGTTTCATTGTGCTGCTGTGGGGAGGTAGGGATGACCACCGGAGTCAGTGTCTTGAAGAGTTGTTTGCATAGCC